GATTTTTGAAGAGGGAGGAGGAGGAGAGGAGGAGGAGGAGGAGGAGGAGGAGGGGGGAGGAGGGGGAGGGGGAAGGAGGAGGAGGAGGAGGAGGAGGAGGAGGAGGCGGAGGAGGGGAGGAGGAGGAGGGAGGAGGAGGGCGCGCAGGAGGGGAGGGATAGGGGAGGGGGAGGGGGGGAGGGGGGAAAGGAGGAGGAGGAGGAGGAGGAGGAGGAGGAGGAGGAGGAGGCGGAGGAGGAGGAGGAGGAGGAGGAGGGAGGGAGAGGGGGAGGAGGGGGAGGGAGGACAAGGAGAGGAGGAGGAGGAGGAAGGAAGCGGAGGAGGAGGAGGAGGCGCTGCAGGAGGGAGGAGTGGGAGGGGGGGGGAGGGGGCGAAGGAGGAGGAGGAGGAGGAGGAGGAGAGGAGGAGGAGGAGGAGGAGGGGGAGGGGGAAGGAGGAGGAGGAGGAGGAGGAGAGGAGGAGGAGGGGGAGGGGAGAGGGCGGAGAGGTAGGAGAGGAGGAGGGGGAGGCGGAGGAGAGGAGGAGGGAGGAGGAGGAGGAGGAGGAGAGGAGGAGGAGGAGGAGGGGGGACGGGGACGAGGAGGGTGAGGGTGAGGGCAGTAGGGAACGCGTCAGTCGGGCCGCCGCGCCCCGCCCGCGGCGCCGCGCGCCACGCACGCCGCGCCTCGCGCTCAGCGGTCGCCGCCCTCGGCGGCTCGCGAGGCGCGGGGCAGGCGCGGCGCGGCACTGGCCCGCGCCCGCTTGGCGGGCGGGCCGCCCCCGGGCGCCCCGCGGGTGGCCAACGGTGGCCAGCTGCTGGGGCGCGGAGGGCCACGGCCCGCGGGCGCTGCGGCTGCCGCTCGGCGCTGCCGCTTCACGACCAGGGCGTCCTCGACCACCACGTCCGAGAGGGCGTCGTCGCTGGCGGCCGCCGCGAGGCGCCGCCGCTTCAGGTCCAGCGCGCCCTCGACCACCACGTCCGAGAAGGCGTCGCCGCGGACGGCGCTGAGGAGGAAGGCGACCTTGTCGGGGAAGGTCGCGTCCACTGGGAGGCCGCGGGGAGGCGAGGAAGACTCAGCGCCCGTGGCGCTCCTCGCCCCCCTCTCGAGCTCTCCCATCCCGCCATTTATCACAGGATGCGGGCAACTGTCTGGACCAGTCGTAGGACCTGGAGGGGCCGCTCCCATCGGGACTGGCCCCCCCAGGTCTGCCGCCACGAGGACCGAGTCGCCCAGCGCGTCTCCGATCGAGTCGTCCAGCGCGAGGTGGGCCACCTCGTCCAGCGCGCCGTCGGCCTCCGTGCCCAGCGCAGGGGGAACCTGGCCACCTCGGCGGCCTGCGGCACGTGCAGCAGCTGCTCGAACAGCGCGGCGCCGAAGGGCATGCAGCCTCGGGCCGACCACCAGCTCGGCCTCCTTCCTCACAAACCTGCGCCGTCCGCTGGCCTTCGGCCACAGGCCTCGAGCCAGCCGCTGGAGGCAGTCACGGCCAGCCCGCGAAGGGCGGCCTAGGCACCTGGCCCGAAGGCCCAGGCCCACCACGCGGCCCGCAGCGGCCACGAAGCACCCGCAGCAGACGCAGAACCACACGCCCAGGCGCTCGTGGAGCCGAAGAATGTGGGAGGCGCGGGGCCGACCTCCTCCGATGTGCGGGAGGCCCTCCCGCAGCCTGAGCGCGGAGGGCCCATCGCGCAGCAACCCTGGACAGCGAGACGCCATCCACTGCGAGCGCGCGGCGCGGGAGGCTGAACACCTGCATCGCAAGCAGCTGCCTCGGCTGTCCAGCGCGTGCGACGAGCCGAAGGCCTCCACCATGCTGGGCGCGGGCGGCGCCTGGCGCCGTCGCCTCGCGCGTCGCACCGGTGGCGTGAACTCGGCCTCGGCGCTCAGCGCGTCCAAGGTCGCCCGCAGGAGGCGTCGTCTGACCACCATCGCCATCTGCTCAGCCTGGAGCACTCGCCCCCTCTCGGGCGCAGGGAGGCGGGCCAGCTCTGCAGCCTCCCCTGCGAGGACGTCGGCGACCGCATTGCCCATGATCAGCCACGGCGGGAGGCCGCGCCGCGCGGCCTCGTCCATGCCCAGGTGCGAGTTCACGTGCTCCACGACGAACTCCGACCTGTCCCGCGTCAGGAAGAGCTGGCCCAGCAGGGCCCACAGGTCACTGTCGGCACCCTGCGGCCGCTGGTCGCGTCTGCTCCACCAGCCCACGCAGACCGCCAGGTTGTCGGAGACGAAGACCGTCGGCCCGAGGGAGCCCTGCGCGGCAAGCACCAGCGCGCGCAGCTCCCCGCGGTGCACGGTCTGCACGGGGCCGCTGAGGCTGCCCCAGACGGCCCGCTCCAGCATGCCGTTGAGCAGTTGGATCCTGGCCACGGCGAGCCCGACCCGACGAAGATGGGGCACCTGCCCTTCAGGGCCCCCGCTGGCCTCGCCGAAGAGGATGAGGGGGGCGAGCTCGGAGCCCCGCCCGAACTCGCCAGGGGCCACGCTGCCAGCCCGATGGCCCTGCAAGAAGATCCACGAGTCGCCGTCGGGCGGGGCGCTGACCTCCGTCCAGCTGGCGGGAAGGAGGCCCCTGAGCCAGAAGGCGGCGTGCGCCTCATGGTCGGTCGCCGCTCGGCCGCTGAACTCGTCGCTGTCGTCGTAGGCCCTGCTGCCCGTGTTGCACGGGCAGCTCCAGTACCTGTGGTAGGCGGTCTCCTCGGCCTCGCCACACCTAGGGCACGTCAAGAGCTCCGTGTCGCCGAAGACCTCCCTCTTTCTGGCTCGCGGCCACGCGCCTCCAACGGCGATGGTGGCGAGCAGCTCCTCAAGCGCGGGCCCCCCTGGGAGCTGTCTGAGCCTCTGGAGGAGACGCTGTAGGGAGCGCAGGTCGGTCCCTCCCCCCAGGCCAGCCCCGCACCAGTGGCCCGCCGCGCGCTGCCACAGGTCCTCTTGGACTGAGGCGTCGAAGGCGTCGAGGACGGCCTGGCAGGAACCCTCGGTGATGCTGGCCACGTCGGGGAAGGCCCACCTTTCTCGAGCTCCGTCCTGAAGGTGCCGCTCCCAACCTCGAGGGCCCACTGGACTCCAGCCGTGCTGCAGCAGCAAAGCCTGCAGGGCGGAGACGGGGCCGCGCACCAGCCTCGACCTCTCCTCGGGGGGGCCTCGCGCAGCCTGGCGTGGATGGGAATCCAGGCGCGCTCGACCCGCTGGCGTATCTCCTGGCTGCCTCCCAATACCTCGAACCAGTTCTTGAGGAGCGCCCGCGGGAGGCGCCGTGCTGGATCCAAGGCTCCCGCGCGGAGGGCCAGCTGCGTGGTGAGGCACCTCCCACGCTTGACGGCGCCTGTGACGGACGCCAGTCGTCGCCGCAACTCGGCCAGCCTGCTGCCGAAGGGGCCGAAGATCTCGAGCCCGTAGGTCGCTGCCGCCTGGAGGCCGACCTTCTCGACGAAGCCGCACTTCAGGTACTGCCGCGAGGCCTTGGCCATGCCACGGAGCCGCTTGCTCGCCTGCCTCGTCTTGCCGAAGCGCTTCGAGATCGCGGTGCGCACTGGCCGTCTGCCCGCCGCGAGGCCGACCCCAAGGCACGTGCCGAAGGAGGAGGCCTGGGCGGTGAACCCGTGCCGCTTGACGATCCTCGCGATGCTGTGGGCGTCCTCCAGCTGCGAGCACACCACCACGCTCTTGGGGGAGATCGCGAAGCCCTCCTGCTGCATGCCCTGCCCGAAGTCGCGGATGCCCTGCGAGACGGCTGCAACCACTGCGGGGCGGGAGCCAACCGCGGAGAGGGAGAGCTCGCCCACCCAGAGCCTGGACGGCAGGAGCTGAGGCAAGCCCTGCGGGGCCCCAGTGGCGAGCCGCTCCATGGTGAAGTACGTCATGCACTTGCCGAAGCGCGTGCCCGACCGCACGCCCTGGACCACCGACTGCGAGGGGACAACGAGCCTCGAGGCCAAGCCGTCCTGCAGCAGGACGCGCCCCGCCATGCACTGCTGCAGCTCCAAGGCTAGGACGGCGGGCGGGAAGCCGCACCGAAGGGCGGCGCGGGCAAGCCCCGCCCACGGCATGCTGTCGTAGAACTTCTGGGCGTCGACCAGGCCGCGCCCGTAGGGGACGCCCAAGGCCGCGAAAGACACCTCGCTCACGGCCCGCGCGAAGGCCTCGCGCAGCGAGGAGCTGCCAGCCACGGCCGCGTCCCACGTTGGAGCCGTGCGGCGCGACCACTCCCGCATGGCGCCCTCCCTGACCATGCTCCAGCAACGAGTGACCATGCTGAGGACGCCGATGATGCGCTCGCCTCCGCCCTTCTTCTCCAGGACGTGGCCGAGCACGAGGAGGAGCTGCTCTGGCCACGTGGCCGCCTGCTCTGCGGCGGTGTAGAGGTCGGCCAGCTCCTGCAGCGCCGCGTCAGGCAGCCTGGCCAGGTCGCCCACCGAGAACTGGTCGATGCCCTGACCCGTCTTGGGCCGCATGCGCTGAAGGGCCCGACGGATGTCGACCACCGTGATGGGCCCCATCTCCTCGTACTGCACCAGCTCGCGAAGCTCGCCGAAGAGCACATGCAGGTCGCTGGGGTCGTAGGGTCGCGGAGCCCACAACCCACTCCAAGCATCAGCCTTGGCGTCGAGGATGCCGCGCGGGTGCACGAGGATGCGGCTGCCGACCAGAACCTCGTCCGCGGCTGACTGTCGCTCTCGCAAGGAGCGAAACACCAGCGGGGTGGCCTCCGCGGCGCTGATCCACTGTCGAAACTCGCGCAGGGAAGCCTGGACCGCGAGCCTCCGAGCGCGCGCTGCCGCCTCCTGAGCCGCCTCCTCCAGCGCTACCAGATCCTCATCAAAGATGGCGTGCACGTCCTCCAGGCTAGCGACCAGGGCGCTGAACCTGGGTGTCCGCCTGCTGCCAGGACACCTTCGCACTTCGCGCCCTACCGAACTCCAGTTCTCGCCTAGTGTAGGCGGCTCGATCTCACCTCTCTGCACCTGCGGTGGTAGAGGGCGCCCACTGTTAAGCTCAGGCGGCGAAGGCGGCGGTGTC